AGCCTGTCTAAATGCTGAGGGAAAAACACCAGTGTGAAGGGATGTGTTAATGATGTGAGTGAGTGCAGGTACAACTGCAGGAGAAAAGGCTTGAAGGAGATGAGATGGAATAGGATCAAGCGGACAAGTAGTGATTAGAAAGGATGAGTTTGGAGACTTCTGCCTCAGAGAGTGAAAAGAAGGATGTGAACGAGTGTATGTTTGACAATGTTTTAAAGAGCATGCAAGAGTTATATATATATATATACATAAAATTATAAAATGTAAATTTTGTACCCTGTCCCGAGCTGATGAAAATATCTAAAATATAAAAATAAACCTTTTTTCCTTTATTGAACCCTGTGTATTATGTGTGTGCTTGTCGTTCAGGCCATCTGCGACAGCTCTCCTCACTCATCCCTTCTTCAGACAGGTACATTCAGCCTTTCATCAAGCTGTCATAAACTCGATCCTGTCTTCAGTCTTACAGTGTAGCCTAAAGTAATTCATGTATTGATCTTTCAGGTGAAGAAACACACAAGGGACTCTTTCATCAGTTTGATGTATCCGGCCGTGCCAGTGTCCTGTCCTCCAGACACGCCTCCGTCCGAAACGCCCACCCAGATCTGCAACACCCCGTCACCCACCGACCCCGAGCCCGAGGACGGCATGTGGGACTTCTCCTAAACCTCGCCGCCTGTTTCTGTCTGCATCTCATCTGTTTCTTGTCCATTTCTCACCCATTTCTCCATAAGTATATTCCGTATTAATCCGTCCTAACCAGCTGCTAGATTTAGTCATTTTGCTGTTCACTTGGCTTGTATTTGTCACCTCATACTACAGTAGCCCCAACCACAGTGAAATCTCACTAAATCCCATCTCTATATGGACCAAAGTGTTGATGACATCATCTTGCACTCATGGGCATATCTACATTTTTAGCCAATCAAATGCTCTCTAGAACGAGCACATACCAGCTGCCTAGACTTTTCCTGACTAGCAAGAGCAAGTAAAAACTCGTAGTTTAATGGCTGTGACTTAAACTAAAAGCCTATTAGCTTGGGCTGCACGATTCATCAAAATAAAACAGAATTTGTGATACAGTCTGTTTATTAAATCTCAGACTGCTTTTAATTTATTAAACATATGTCTTTCTTAAATACTTGATGTTTAATTTTACAGTAAATATGACAATACTAATATTTCTTACTTGAATAATTATTTATCAATAATCATGATAATAATAAAAATAATAATATTGTTTTTCTTGAACACTATTTTAATTTTACTGTGAAATATTATTATTATTATTGAGAAATATAAATTAGAAATATTAGTTTTTATTTCACTGTAGAATTACAAATATTATTTATACAGTTATAAAAATAATTGTAGCTATTTTTATTTCTCAATAATAATAATAATAATAATATTGTTTTCCTTAAATACTCTTTATTTTAATTTTACTGTGAAATATTACAAAACTAATAATTCTTATTTTTGTTTAAAATTAGAAATATTAGTTTTTATTTCACTGTAGAATTACAAATATTATTTATACAGTTATAAAAATAATTGTAGCTATTTTTATTTCTCAATAATAATAATAATAATAATATTGTTTTCCTTAAATACTCTTATTTTAATTTTACTGTGAAATATTACAAAACTAATCATTCTTATTTTTGTTTAATATTTTATTATTATTAATTATTTTTTACTTTTAAAGTAAAATATTGCAATGCTAATTTTTCTTATTTGTTTAAAAATATATATTATAATAATTTATTATTATTATTATTATTATATTCATCTTTATATGTAATAACAAAATTCTTGGCCAAATTGTGCAGCCCTATAAACAAGCACAGCAAACCTGGGGGTTTTTAATCACAATTTTTCACAATCGTGCACCCCTACTATTAGCTATTTTTAAACAAGCATTTTTTTATATGTCCCACCCAACTTTCTGTAAAATACAGGAAAGAAACTGCACTGTCAAGCCATTTGATTGGTCACTTCATGCAACATTTTCTCTTTTATTATGGACAAAAAAAAACGACGCACTCTGTGACTAGTGTCTTATTCCATGTTGTGTGCTCATAAGTATGCTGCACATTTTGGCCAATGTAGTAGGTCACCCAAGTATTCCATGCATACTGCCGCGCATACTGTTAGTATGCTATTCTGAATTTAAACCATGTCAGTGTGTGATCAGAGCTTCCTGTTTGATGTTCACAGCAGCCAATCACATCATGAACTAACTGCAAATCACTGGATTTGATCCAACTCCGACGAGTGAGGTCATCAAACTGAGCCATGAATGCAGAAGCCAGATATCATGTTGTGTGTGTGTGTGTGTGTGGAAGTGATTAGTGCATCACCCACTCAACCTGTGCCAGTGAACATGTGGGTGTGTGTACAGTACATGTGTTTGTGTGTATGTATCTCTGTGTTCAGATATCCACAAGCCTCCTCTTGCTCTGAATGAAGAAACTGCACGTTTGAATCCTGTGAAGAAACAAACCAAAACATCAATGCTGTGCTGTTCAACCGCTCGTCAACACTGCCTCAACCCAATCCAGATGAAACTGAAGGACTGAGCAGCTGTAACTGTGACTGATATTATATTTACTGATTTTTTAAAACATGTTAACTGTATTTAGACGTGATAAATATATTCTTACTCTGTTTCATAACTCTTTGGTGTCCTGTCATTTGTTTTTAATATATAAATGCAGTAGATTCAAAGTGAAATTCTAAAAGTTCCTGCCAATTAAATAATTATATATATCGTTTTTTATCATATTTCTTACCTTATTTCCCTTGTAATTTTGCGATCTTATTTAATTCGGTGAATTTTACTTTTAAACTCTCAAAAACATTTAATTTCCAGGAATTTGTTTTGCATTTGACGAACTTTTATTTACTGCACCAAAGCATTTCTGTATTTGCGCTCTCTGCCAGTAGGGGGCGGTCATATATTGTCAAAATAGTCAAAATCATCATAAAATAAATAGATCCTGCATTTTTTAACATATCATGCTTGCAAAAAACAATATATTTGATGTCAAGGTAACTTAATCTTTACAAAAGTACATGAATTATAGATTTACAAATAGCGACGACCGAATTATTGAGGCTTAATTTAACGTTAGTAATCTTACCATGTTGATGGTATCTTATTAGTATTAATTAGGCAAGGTCATGTTTATACAGTGAGTTGTTATACAAGTTTATCTGATCGGCATACGTTGGCACGTGAACGCTAGTCATTTGGCGAATTGCTTAAGTTTGTTTATGAATATTAATTAGATTACGTAACAGAACACCCCGGCCTGACTGCACGATAAACGGGTATATATATATATTTAAAAAAAATGATAAACGGGTATATACATTGTTAATTTATAAAAATTGTATATTACTTAGTTTAGGCCTTCTTGACTTTAATGTTAATCTTTTAGATACATTTTTAGATTTTTATTAACTAAATGAAATAGTCTAAAAAATTGTAAACTACTTAGTTTAAAAATGCTTAAATTCATCCCCAATATTTAAGGTATTTTTAGTGGAATTTGATTGTTTTATATCTTCTCTGAAATTGTTAAAAAACAAAAAGTCATTAACATGTTTAAAATATTATGACATTATTTTCAGTTCCCGTTACTAATTAATGTCACACTTTGTATAGCACTGACTGTCTTATGCTATGCTCTGTTTGTTATTTGTTCTATTTTCATTAATAAAAAAAAAAAAAATGATAAACGGGTATGTAAAAAATATTTTCAGTATGTCTTCAGTACGAAAATTGTATATTACTTAGTTTAGGCCTTCTTGACTTTAATGTTAATCTTTTAGATACATTTTTAGATTTTTATTAACTAAATGAAATAGTCTAAAAAATTGTATATTACTTAGTTTAGGCCTTCTTGACTTTAATGTTAATCTTTTAGATACATTTTTAGATTTTTATTAACTAAATGAAATAGTCTAAAAACAAACCAACTAAAATATCAGTTATAAAATATGACTGTAAAAAAAAAAAAAATCTCAAGGAAGCATACGTAGCAACGAAAGCATGATGTAATTAATATTCATTACGCCAAGCCTTTGAGGGATTGGTCGTTTCGCTAGTTTCAGCCACGCCTTTGCGACGCACATGAGCTCCACATAGGCAACGTAAAGGAGTGCGGCCTGTCGTAAAACATCTAGGGAAGAACACACACACACACACACACACACCTTCAAGCGACTCGAGCCCGTGCCGTGGCTTTGTAACGAGCCGTCCCAGTCCAATGCGATGATATTCGTCATATGCATCCGGGCTGTCAGGCTTATCTGGTTACAAAATGAGTCAAAAGCTAGTTTGGGTGGTTGAAACCGACCTGGTTTAAATGTCAGTGGCGCTTTCAGTTCATGCCACATTCCTGGATTCTTCACCAGAACACAAGCTTTTGGTCGGGAGTTTCGACGGGCTGCTTTTGTTGAGGCAGGTGAGTTTCACAGCGATAGTGAGCTAATCTATTCATGCACAGTATTAGTATTGTATATGCCGCTGCCACTTGTTATTATGATCTGATCTTTATAATACGAATATAAAATATAATATAAAAAACATAATTCGTGTTGATGTTAGGAGGTATTCGTAACAGTTACATCTATTTCTGAAGTAAATATTTTAGTCAAGATAATGCTGTTGGTCTAAGTGTTGAATGTTTTCTATCTTGTGTTGTAAGTTTCTATCTAAATCTAATAATTAGTCATTTTTGTTTAGTATGAATAGCTTAGAAGAACACCCAGAGTTCTAGATCAACTCTTACTATGTGCAAGTCCTTGGACATTTATAAATAATAAATGCACAGAAAATATCTGAACTGATATTGTCAAGTTATGGAGTTAAAATATAGTTTGCATGCTATTTCAAGGCTGAAATATAATGTTGGCTGATGTTGAGTTGGCCTGGGATGATATCATGGGTCTCTGTTTATTTTGGGCTGTCAAGTTATGGAGTTAAAATATAGTTTGCATGCTATTTCAAGGCTGAAATATAATGTTGGCTGATGTTGAGTTGGCCTGGGATGATGTCATGGGTCTCTTGTTTATTTTGGGCAATTTTTTCCTTCTCTCAAAGTCATGCATTGCACGTTTACTGTTATCTGTGGCATGCAAATGTGTTTTTGGAATTTGCAATGCATTCGTGCAGCATCGAAATCCAGGGCTGTTTTTAATGTGTGCTGTGTTTGTCGACAGGGCTTGGAAGAACAGAGGAATTTTTGGAATATCGAAAAGCTGCTGGTGGAAAACTGCCGGAAACGCACAAGACCAAGTCGTCTGGGATTCGTATCGTTCACATGATGGATGTGATTTCACAGTGCACGGAGGAAATGACACGATCTGTCACCCTGGATTAACACGGACTCCGATTCACCCATTGGTGGGATTTGTTATCCACGAATGAACGTGGCATTTGGGCAAACTCCTTTTGGCAGGATGTTGACACCATGAAGGCTTGGGAATACTGACCATAATATAATCGGGAAGATTTCTGCCTACATGCTCACAGCTTGCAGTGCAGAATGGCATCGACCGAGAGACTGTATGAGGTTTGGATGCTGTACTGCAATAAGGTAAACAGCTTGCAGTGCACATGCACTTTCATAGAGATAATGCATTTAATTTCTCATGCAAATGCACACTGCGTCACTAAGCACAGCCAAATAATCTCCTTGCACATGAGGAGGGGTGCAGTTTAATTTATTTATTTCTTGCGCAGTGCATGGGGCTGGTACACTGTGTTATATATGTGAACGCATGTCGAGACATCATGAGATGCCCTCTGGAGAGATCCGCTTCAGTTGTGTTCATTGATGAGGGATTGTAGATACTACCGACCCCCATCTGTGACATCCCGTAATCTTAGTTTAAGATAATCAACCCGAGATAATTCAGCGCACAGTGACAGATGGTCTCTTGGTTATACTTCCCCATTAACCACAGATGCGTTTGGGTGTTTGAGTTTTCCCATAAAGATCTCATGAAGAGAAAATAATGCTGCTTTACAAAAAAAAAGTCTTAAAGGTGAAGCGTGTCATTTTTTTAATGTTAAAAATTTTCTTATCCCAGTTCAAGACGTAGGAATAACTATAAGTATACCTTTAGATGTCAGTTTCCCCAAAAAGTGTAAACATTGCTCCGTTTGTTTGTTCAACATTGACTCAACCAATAGTGGGAGTTTGGGGTGGAGCTAACTTGTTTGACCGACCAATGGCAGATCGGGGGAGTGTTCAGGAAATCTGTTTGAAAACATTATTTTTGCAGTTCCATTTTTGCTAGTGTTGCAGAAATGACACATTTTAAAGAGCCTTACATGTCTTCAGGTTTAGGCTTTTTAATTGGGACTTTCTCTGAAATGGATTTTGTTACCAAGATCTTTTGAGTTTTTTTTGAGTCATATAGAAATTATTTTCACCATCTAATCAATTCCTGAAATATAAATAAATCAAATTATGGAAGTAAAATGTGTTTTTAATTTATGTCCCCTCTAAAATGTGGAATTTATGTCCCTTCTATTTTTTTCACCCTAGAGATTGTGTTCGTAATATAGCTGCAGTGTTGTTTTGGTATTATATATATACTATTAATTAATGTTTTGCTTTTATTTTTATATTATAATTTTTTTATATTTTATAATGTCATTTTAGTTAGTAGTAATTTTTAGTAATTTTCATTTATAGTAGTAATTTTGTTCTGTTATTTTTAATACTGTTTTTTATAAACTATTTTATGAACTATTTAATAAAATTATTTTATCATTATTTTATCCATTAGTTGCAAAGGCAGCGTTTTCATTGGTGTTTCATCTAATATCTATATTTTATTTTATTTCAGTTACACTAAAAAAAATGAGTGTATGATTTACTTAAAAAAAAAAAAAATTCACTAATTTTTTAGTAAATTTCACAAATAATTACAAAGAAATGGCAAGTAACATTCAATTAAACATGACATTTTAAATTACAAGAAAATGCTATTTCAGTTTTTCTAATAAATACTCCAATAATCTTTGTTTTATTTACTTCGAAAACTTTTTTTTTTATTTTTATTTTTTACAGTGTTACGATTTGTAAGTTTTAGTCTTCCGCTGCAGATTCATCTTTAGCGAGTAGTTCAACACAACAACACACTTTACACTCCTTTAAACTCCTTGTCTTTGTGTTTTGTGTTGCCAGTACAGATCTTTAACTGCTAGGTTACCCTCACGCTGGTGTATTCAGATCCTTGTTGAGACGGGTTCAGGACATTTAACACCAAATCATTCTCAGTAATCATGAGCCAGAACAAATGTAATAACACATTCTCCAGACTGTTATCCTTTCTACAAGAGACAATATTCTGCCCGAGTGTCAGCAGTGTCTTGTGGGTCTGTTATGTCAGCGTTATACAGCGATTAGAGTGTGAGCCCCTCAGAGCCGCGGCCGTCCGCAGGGACGCAGGACCGATCCAGATAAAATAAGACTGCCAAATCTGAACATCAGCCTTGGGTTGTGGCAGAAAACCTGAGATTTAGGTCTAAAAGGAATAGAAGACTTAAACATGTGCACATTTTACTGTTCAATCAGGTTTTAAATGATAAAAGAGCATCACGAAGTGGTGTGATATACAGTTTTATTTCAGTTATTAATCAAGTCTTGATTCTCTCACAGTGAAATGTTCAACCTGCCAACTCGTCCTTGACATCATTTCCGTCATGAGCTGATAGTCGCAAGTCCAGTTTGGTTTTGTTTGCTGCAAGAATGACCTTTGCTTTTGTTTATGGTTTCTGCGCTCACACATTAACCAGTTTGTGATCTTCATTTCCTCTTCAGCACGCTAATGTAGCCTAATCATCATAGCGTTTATGGCTGTCAGATTTACATTTATGCATGATGGCAGACTTGGGCTTTGGGTTTCCTGGGACAAAATGATTTCCCAACCTTCTCAGCCTCTGTATGTTCTGTTTACCTGTTCGCAAAACATAGAGAACATAGCCGCGGAGGAAATCAATAATCTAACCCAGTGCTGGAGAAAGCAAACAAATACTGGAGAAATGTTGTTCTGGGAACCTTCTAGCCTTGTACTGAGAGCTCATATTTGATTCTGAGTGATGTTTTCCTGTTTAACCACCTGTATTAAGTTGCCTCAGCAAAACTTTGACCTCTGTACACTTCAGTTTCCTGCTCGGCAGTATCTGAAGTAGGTATTGTCCATTCAGTAATAACGTATGCCGCTTGCTTCCATCAGATCATGATGAATAAGACGAGCCCTGTTCAGACACACATTACATCTCAAGGTCACTGTAATGTAGTTTGTAGTCACGGGAAGAAGGAGGCGGGAACCGGCGAACATGGTTCCCAGACACACTGCCGCTCGGCCCTCCACCAGCTGGGTAAACTCTTCCGCGATGCCTGGCGGCGGCACTGGATAGCCCTCGGTGGACGGCCCGACACTCCTCCGCCGCCCGGTGGACGGCGACGGCTCCTCCGGGTTCGGGCAGCCGGCAGGAGTCCCCTGTTCCCTGCCCCTTCCCCATCATGGCGGATGGCAGCAGGCTCCGGCCTCAGGCGAACGGCGGCGACTCCTCCGCTCCCTCACGGACTGCAGCCGTCCCTCCACATCCCAGGTGGCCGGCAGCGAGTTCGTCCGCCCCCCCGGCAGCTCACTCCAGCCCACCGCCTCGAGCGTCCATGGCGGCAGATTGCTCCGCCATGCTCGATGGCACCGCGGACTCACCACAGCGGCGAGGGATCTCTGGCAGCGTGTCCCTCCTTCCTCCCGGGTTTCGGCACCAATGTAACGTAGTTTGTAGTCACGGGAAGAAGGAGGCGGGAACCGGCGAACATTAAAGATTTTAATAATAAAATAACCAAACACAAAATAGCGCGACAGCCCCTCGCGGACGACTGTCGCGCACAAACAAAACCAAAACACAAAATAAACTCCAGGCCTGGTCCTCTCTCGTCTTTCACTGTCGTCCCTCCTCCTTTTTATCCTTCCGGAGCTCCTCCGTGAGACTCGAGACCGGTGAGTGGCGCAGGTGTCGCACATTAGCAATTACTCCACCGGCCTCGCTCCGTTCCCACGGCTCTCGGCCCCGCCCCTCTCGTCACAGTCACAAAACAAAAAGCCCATGCATTCTGATGGAAATTAATTTACAGGGATGTTCTGTCATCTCATGCACCATGAATGGCAGCATTATTTATATAGTTAGTTCGTTTCAGTTCTTTTAAAAAGCGTAAGTGTAAAATTTGTAGATGCTAAGGTGTTTTGAGTGTTTTTTTGAATGCATTAGGAAACAGGCATTGCAAGTGTGCTCTCATGGTTTCTAGGGTCATCTTTTTACTGGTTTCTATTTATGACTCGGGCCCCTCCTTCTAACTTAATGGTGTGCTCATGTTATGGTAGAATTAGTTCAATCTCTAAAGTTTCAGAAAGCTCCAATTTCATGTGCACTTTTTTAAAGAAGTGTCTTATGCGCACCAAGTCTGCATTTATTTGACAAAAAATACAGTAAAAAGAGTAATATTGTGAAATTAAGATAGCTGTTAATTTGAAAATGTTATGGCCAAGAAGCATTTCTTTATATTATCAATGTTGAAAGCAGTTGTGCTGCTTAAAATCACAATTATTTGATGAACAGAAAGTTCAGAAGAACAGCATTTATTTGAAATAGAAATCTTTTGTAGCATTAAAAATGTCTTTACTGTTACTTTCGATCAGTTGTGATTATGCATCAAAGAATACTTATGAGCAGCAGTTATTGTAATATTTGACTTGGCATACAATTAACAAGTACCTTATGTGGCAAAAGTGTCAAAGACTTGCTGCATTTGGTTTCTCTTCGCATTGGTTCCTCCATGTAAATGCATAGATCAGGCAGGGATTCAATTAGATCCTGTTTGTCAGAAACCAGCAGGTAATTCAAACAGTATCTGGTGGTCATTTTCTTTTGGGTTGTGAGAGAAAAACACTGAACTTCAGACAGTAATGAAACTGGCAGCTAGCACCTGTAAATAATAAAATGACATTACAACCCCATAAAAACTATTGTTCATATTGGGTTAGATGATCTTTGTGGTGCATTCATGTGTTTTTGAGATGGAAACACCCACCAAGTGTGACGTCTTTGCTGTCTTTTTTTGAGTTAAAAAAAAATGACTGAAGGAAGAACCGGACGGATTGAATGAGGCCTTCATGATGACCTTTTTATAAGGTCTGTTTACTCAAGCAGTTTAATAGATGCTGCGCTTTGTGTTTCCTGGTTACAGTCGTGGTCCCACACACACACACACACTCTGAGATAATGATAGACTGCACAGAGTCACTGTACACACGTGTGACAGCAGCAGTTGTCTTGTGAATAGGACGGAGCTACTTGTGCGGTGACCTTTGACCCGGTTAAGACCAGTGATTATAAGGACTTGTCCTTCAGTGATGGCTATAAACGGCTTTTACAGGGCTGTGTGCTATTTATACATGTACACACACGTACAGTACTCATCCATTAGTCCTCTTTAAAGAGGGACAATGAGGAAATCCTCTGTTTGTGAGTGTAATCCACTCTCTGTTCATATTCTGTCATATCCTGACA